TTTGTGGTAATAAAATAAAAAAGGATTTGATTCTAAATCACAGACAAACAGAATATTTTAATTTTTAATACGTTTAAAATGGAAACATTGTTGTGGAAATTTCATGGCTATTACAAATGTAAGTTTAACAAATTTCGAGTTTTCTATTTTTTTTTTTTTTGTTTTCGCTTAAAGAGATGACAAACTTGTTTGTGTATTGAGTTGTAAATTAAAAGTGAGATATAGTTAATTGACCAATTTTTGATTATATACTCCTCCGAAACGGTTTGGCCAATTTTGGTACTGTAGGTGTGAGAATAGGTTAGAAGCTATTTATAGCCAAAAGAGGGTGAGGTCGCTGCTCTCGCTATCATCCCTATTTTTAAAAACGTTCTATTTTGGAAACCGTTGAATCTATCTCGAGGTCTTGATTTTTTTCAGAAAATATTATCACGCATTCCCAGTTGTCATTTCCCATATAATACACCAGTTGAACAAATTCTGAATTTCTGGAATATTTTGTACATTTAACAAATTAATGTTAATGTTCCGGGCCTGTGGTAAAAAGTGGAAAATATTGGTAGTTTTTGGTAGGAAGATGTGTAAATGGAATAGTCAAAGCATGTGAAACTATGATACCAGACAGGGACTCATGGGATAGCGGGACACTAGCATACGAGGCGTTCAGTGTACACTTTGATTAACGCCACTTTTTAAAAATCTTAAACCGTTGAGCCCCGAATTTTTTCCGCAATCTTATAACAAATTTCTGTTTACAGACTTAATGCAACTATCCTAAATATGATATTCACAAAATTTGACATCGCTACTTACTTGCATTCTGGAGATACAGTCATTCTTTCTAAAAAATTAAAGTCCAATTTGAATACGAAGCGATTTAAATAATTTGGACTGTATACACAAATTAGTACAGTACACACATTTTTTGATTTTTCTTTTGATATGTGTCGTCCATAATGTGGTCTTGACTAATGGAATCCAAATAATATATATCTACTAGCTGCATATTAAATATAAGCTCTAAAACATTTTGTTGCCTGTGGGCAACATTGGGCCACAAAGGGTTAAATTTAATTGTCAAAAGCCTTATTATAGTCATAACTGTTTATATTAAAAAAAAAAATCTTTCCTGGTTAATAAAGGTTAGCGCCGTTATTCATTCTACATTATAATGTTGAATTCCTATTATAAAGGAATTTTAAAAACAACATACACTTCATCATCGCTTTTCTGAACTTTTTTTAGGGAGTTAATCGATGTGTGAACTGAGATATCCATATCAGTCGAGACTGGAAAACCGAAATTTCAATTCGCCCACCAAATCACAATGTGATCCTACAGTCGCAGGTTCAAGCTATAACGAAGTGCCTGAACTGGTTTAGTGCAAACTCTGGTCAGGATATAATAAATATAAGGACAGATAGTTCACAAGCCATAAATACAATAACCTCTTAAACAGTTAAATCTAAACCTATAAATACCATAAACAATGTCTCGCGAGTTACGAATCATATGGGTACCGAGTCACATAGGAATAATTAAGGCGTCCAGATTTTGGAAATGTAACCGACCGCCCTGCAATAGATGTAAATAATACAAATCAGAAGGAAATCAGCAGACTGACCGGTATTCTCACAAGACCTAACAGCGTACAGGCATCCTTACACAAGATTTAATGCGAGGGTAGCAACTGGTGTGGAGCGTGTTCAGAAGACAACGAACCGTTATTAAATTTCCATGGCTTCCGAACCCAATTCTTATGAAATGACACTATTCGTGAATTAACCGACATAAGGGACGTGAATGGAAAAAATAAAGGACTTTAAAAAAAGGAAAGAAAAACAGAATTGCTACATGTTTAGGAAAACCAAATACAAAGATGACTTCCTCTAACCTACTTTCTTCTCCAGAGCGCACAATAGGCCACTTACAGTCTTGAGTGTAAACCACCCCTCTTTTCAACCTACCGTAGAACATTTCCTGCAATCGAATTATTAGGACTACCGTTTGTAGAAGTGTTGGCTTGTTGTCTTTATATATATATATATACAGCTGCGGTAAAAATAAAAGCAGCGTAATGTATTGAAATTTTTCCATTGACGAAAACCATTTTCTTTTTTGAAATCGCTAAAGTTTTCTGACCAAATTATAGTTGGCACATTACCAATTGCTATCTATAGTGTATTAAAAACAAAAAGTTATGTATTAATAACAAAAAGGAATTTATTCTACAAATGAGGTCGGTCAAAAAATAGCAGCTACAATGAAAACATAATATAAATTCATTTAAGGTCCTTATATGAAACCTAAGCATTGGTAGCGAGATAAAATACATTATGTTCGTGGAAATAAAAACGTTGTTGCGTACCTCTGCTTCACATCGACGTTACATTAAATCGACTAAGTTTTGCATATTTTGTACCGAATTTTTAGTCAAGTTTCTTAAATTACACTTCAAGCTCATTATTATTCATGAGTTTAGTTACGACGACCTCCTTTTTGAAATTGCACAACAAACATTCAATTGGATTTAAATCCGGTGACTGCTAGGGCCCTTCTGTAATACCTATATATTGTTGTCCTGAAACAATTGTTTTACTAATCGACTGCTCTGTTTTGTATACTTGTCCTGTTGAAATTTTATTTCTATATGCATATCATATTCTCATACAGAACCATAATATGTGGCAGCATTGTGTGGCATCTACTACATTTTGGCTCAACTCTGCAGTACGAAAAGAACGCTCAAAGCATCACATGTGATCCACCATCTTTGATCGTTTTAGGGGTCAGAATCTTTGTTCTGTAGACGTCTCACATACTATCGTAATCCAATATCAACATACAAAAGTATTTTGGAATCCTTCGATCACAGCATATTTCTCCGTTTTCCAACAATTTGTTATATGTTGTGCTGCTATTATTTTGACCGCATCTGTATATATATATATCCAATATAATATTATGTTCTTCATTAAATTAAATACACCAAAGGATGGATTGATTGATAAGCAATGGAAAAAAAGTTGTTATTAAAATAATAATGGTTTCGTGTCAGTTGTGAGTGTTTTTGTTTTTTTTTTTTTTTTTGTTTCGTTGATTTGTATGTACATGTAAGGACTGTTTAAATTTTTACTTAAAACTAAATGTTATTCGAATACGACTTCATTGTTAGAGTGACATCAGTTTTCGTCATTATTGTATCGGAAGACATAATTTATCAGATTTATTTGGAGTAATTATGATTAATGGTTCTCTTTCTCATTTGTGTGTGTGAGAGTATTAGATTGGGTGCCTTTTGTCCTTTGGGGAAGAGAAATGGGTTCTTACAAACTAAGTTGATGAATTTAATTCTATTTATTAGATATATGATTACATAATACATAGTTGTATATGACTTATATGACTGTATGTTGAGACGAGTTGAGTGCAGTATAAATAGAATTTGGTTCGAATCGAGCACGTCGCGTTCACTACATCTTCAGGGGTTTCGTAATATGTTATGTAGAAAGAACGCAAAGTGCACAATTGGGCTTCACATATTGCAGCCGTACCAATATGACTGCTCAACAGTAATTCTTAGAATAGTTAGTATGCTCAACAAGTATTCAAAGAAAATAAGTATTATACATTTTTCACTTTTCACTTTTTTAATGTACCGGCGAGTGATTTGAATATTTACAATGGAAAATTCGCTTCGATATACTTTACACTTCTTTATAAATACTTTTCATTATCGGATGTATTAGTTAGACAAAAGTCTATTAGCGTTCATTTTGTAATAGTTTATTGGTATTTACAATAACAAATATGACAAGGACATTTGTGTTTGATTATTCTGGAGGAAGTTGTTACCAAGGTGATGATATGATTGGTGTTCGGATATGTGCATTGATGGATTCATGTGCTATGTACGGATCCACAGATATTAAAATCAGCTTTCAACGGAATTTACCACTAACATTTTAACATATATTTTTCGATATTGATGTTTTATAATGTTTTTGATATTTTGCAATTTATGCTGTTTATATCACCATTATACCAAATAACAATGGACATTTTTTTATTTTTCTAATATTTATCGTCAGTTTACAAAGGTGTACTTCGAACGTCGTTTCTCATCAAATTTTACAATTAAGCACAAGCAGGAATGCATTAAGTAGGATTTAATAAGATACATTTCTTAACGGCAATATTTTTTTATTTTTTAATTTAGATTGTCATTGACAATATTTCTGTTATCGCACCAATATATACATATACATATATAAGGTACATTTAAAATATTAAATATGTGTTCGTTTTACACAGAAGTAGTTGCTGTACTTAAAGTACGATGCAAAAATGACCGAACTCAAGGTTAGGCATAAGCTCCAATTTTGACACGATGCATGGATGTCAGTAAGAATAAAGATAGAAACATAAAAACCGAATACAGTGAATAAATGAATCCAAAAAATAAATTCTACTCTTCTCAAAACGCTGTTTTGTATGCATGGATGGGGTGGGTGACTTTTTATATCTGGACATCCGTACACATATACATGCACCATATGAATTGGTATGTAAATATAACATTTTCTTGGAATATAGATAGCAAAAGGTATATGGTGTGAGAGAAAGAATGGTGGCTGCTGTCATTTAAAGTTTTAAAATTGAAACATTTTGTTATTGTAATTCTGTTGAGGGTTGCATTAAGTTTGTTTAGAGTTTTTTTTCGTTTCATGTGCTACTTATTTTCATGTGTTGGCCTTTGTAAGGAATAAGGACACTAGCTGCACTCACCAATATATTGTAATTCGTTTGTTTGAATATGTTCATTGATATAATTTTGTTTTGGCTTAATTTAATAACAATAATAACAATATAGACGCATCAGCAGTGCGGTTTATATATTACGGTACACACACTCACTTGAAGGATAACCTTTTATGCCATATCAGAGCAAGTGTCGCAAACAGATAAATCCGAATATTTGATTCGAAATTAGAACCAACTGTTTTTGTTCGTTGGCATCCACGATTAGGAGCTGTGAGAATCCATGACGTCCTTTGAGTTGGGAATGCCGATGATATTTTATATGATTTGTCGTTTCCATTTCTATTCGGTAGCTGAGTGTGAACTGGAATAACAATAAAAGCAGTGAAAGTAAATAATTTAATTTGTAGTTAGTTTTACAGTCAAATATTTGTTTGTATTATTTACACCAAAGTCTGTTTTTACACGGTAGATTGGTTCCAGAAGAAGCCGTGTAAAAAACCGTGTAAAAAAGACATTGATCTTATACATAAAGGGAATTCCCCTAAATTAGTGCTATTCACATTTGCTTTGACCAGTAAAAATTGTTTGTACGCGCTAAAGCTAGTGTTCGCAAACTATCGATACTATCGATAGCATCGATACTATCGATGGTTTCAGACTTTTTTCTTTCATAAATACTTTTTTGTGATATGAACAAAATTAAAAAAATAAATTTGACAAAAAAATTTAAGTACATAAAATTTCAAATTGTGCTAAATGGAGTAAAATCGTCTAAAAAAATTAAAAATATTCAATTTTCAAACCGTGTTATATCAAAACCGTGTAAAAACAGACTTAGGTGTATTTGTTTAATATTGATTTTAAAACAATTTCTCCACAAATAGCAAAACACGACCTATTCTCAAGCGCCAGAAGTGTGATACACTGCGTAGCATAACTATAGCCGCACCTTTAATTCAATTAGTATGTTAGTTGACAAATAAAATGGACCCATTCAGTTGTAGTTCACAATAAAAGGATGAAAAACACACATTATTCAACAAAAATAATTAATTTTATTAATTAATCTACGGACGTAATCACGATATTTCTTAAAACGATATATTGGTGGCGGTTCCTTAATACTCTTTGGAGCATTTTGTAGCCACGGAATGTTTTATTTGACATTTCCTAGTTGTCGGATGGATTCAATGGAGTATGTTCAAGTCTTCGAAGACAAACTATTGCCATTTTGGGAAAGCAGCAACAATGAAGATACTGGGATATTTTTACAAACTATTGCCATTTTGGAAAAGCAGCAACAATGAAGGACTCGTTTTTCGCCATACTCAAATCGAAAAATATATAAGATATATAGGGTTCGTCCTTGGGCCAATTAAGTGACCTGTGCCAATTTCATCCAAATCGAATCATAAATGCGACCTGTACTTTGTTAACAAATATACATGGACGGACGGACAGACGGACGGACATGCATAAATCGACTCAGAAAGTGGTTCTATGCATATTATTTTTGCCTGTTACAAACATATGCACAAAGTCATAATACCCTGTACCACACTGTGGTGAAGGGTATAAAAATCTGCTTCGTAAAGGGCTGATTGTGTAGTGAAGTTACAGTGTGTCAAGAATGAGTATACGCATTGAAGAAATAAAAGCTTTTTCCAATTTTGTTAATAATAATATGAAATGTGTGTCTATTAAAGTTATATTTTTGATTTTTTTATAATAGTGTACATGTGTACAGAGGTAAAATACAAAAGAAATGGAACAAAAATATTTAATGTATACATTGTCAATTAACTCTTTTCACATGATGTAAATGTTAAATTTATAGTAGAATATTATTATTGAAACCCCATTTTCATAGTTCAAGTATCCTGTATAACAACCCTACCCTACATTGTAGACGTATCCAAAACATTGCCACAGTTATAAAGAAGGCACATTCACACTATATGTGATTTGTGATTAGGATCATTATCCTGATAAAATTTAAAATGTGGCTTGTTGTCCCCGATCAACCCCAAGTTCATAGCACTGAATAACAAATGTTTTTAAATGTCTAAAAATTGCGTCACATCGCGTCTTTGCTTGATTCCAATCATTATTGAAATTTTTCCAAATTTGACTATTGGGATGATGTTCTGCCTTTCTAGAATCCAATTCTGTTTGGTCCATCGTTACTTTAGTTTTGTCGCAAAATATACCCAGAGGGCCCGACCCGTTTAAAGGGTTATATAACTTTAATTTCCTTCGAGAGATGCATTTCAGAATTTATTCCTTTTTTATTAATCTATATATATAAAAATGGAGTCAAAAAAATGTATACTAACTCATCAATTGAGAACGGCTGGGTCGATTTGACTCAAAGTTTCTTTCAGATGTCGGTAATTACAGTGGGAAGGTTTTTATGAAAGAAAATTTTTACAAAAATCCGCGAAAATCTTGCAAAAATTATTTTAAAGAAATGGCTGGGCCGATTTAATTTAAAGTTTCTGTTAGTAGTCTGCAATTGAAGTGGAAATGTTTTAATGAAAGAACATTTTAAGAAAAATCCGCGATAATGTTGCAAAAATTATTTTAAAGAAACGGCTGGACCGATTTGACTTATAGTTTCTGTTAGTAGTCTGTAATTGAAGTGGAAAGGTTTTAATGAAAGAAAATTTTGAGAAAAATCCGCGAAAATGATGCAAAATATATTTTGAAAGATATTAGTATTTCCACACATTTTATTAGCATTTCCACACATTTATAGGCTTTTAATTTGATCAATTATATATACATATACTTTTTAGGGTCTCCGGTGTTGCACAGGGAATGACAAATTTAATATACTCTTTACCTTATGACGAAAGGTATAAAAAGCGTACATATTACTGGGCAACTGTTATGTGGAAGTCGTATAAACATATTGGTAATGAATCTAATTAAATCCGAATCCTAAATGATAATTCCAGCTCTTGATGTCTTAATTATATGACGTTATTTAAACTTCCATGAATGCAATAATTACAAAAACAAAAATTATATCCATGGAAATTTTAGAAGGGTAAACAACGTTTGTCGGTTCGACAATTGCACCGCTTATAACTGAAGAACAAAAATCAAATATCAAGGCTCGGTTATGAACACCAAATGGTAGATACTCTGAAACTTTATATTTTGTATTGCAGAGATTTATATTGAAATGTGTGCTATAGCTTCCAATGTATCGATGGGGAAAATATAAAAAGTTTATCTACACCAATAATTTTCATGCATATTTCTTAGCCAAAAAATTGTTTATGCAAGTATGAATAGAAATTGAAAAACAAATCTAAAATACCGACAATTATTTATTAACAATATTGCTATGGCAAGACAACGTTTGCCGGGCCCGCTAGTAGGTATATTTTTGGCCAAAGTCGAAGTTTAAATTAATTGAATTAATTACATAGAAAGGGGTACGAAATGAACATACAATTGGTTCATTTTTGAGACTTCGACTTTGTGAGACTATGAAAATCCACCCCATGCCGCCAAAATTAAAATCGGGTTTAAACAAAAACATTAGTCAATAATTCAAAACCCACCTAGGTATTTCCATCTGCCATCATTAGCTTTCGGATGTTGGCGGTCCCCATTGGTTTAAGATTTTCAAGTTGTGTCACCGCCTTATTAAACTATAAAAACTATATATAATTTTTGATGATATTAAATCTATCCTTATGGGGATCATGTAGAGCCATAACATTTGCTTATAGTAAACGACTTCTTTCGAATGTTCTGCATGTCTATGTTAATATGATTGATATTAGTATATTATCCATCTTATGGCAGTACTAAAGAAAACAAAAAAGCTATTCTGTATTCACATACCACATGTGCAACATGTATTGCGGTATGTATGAACATCATCATATACACATCGTACCTTCCATGCATCACATAGATTGGCTCGAACATTGTAAAATGAGTAACATTTGAACGATGGCATTTTTTTGATTTGGCGCGACCTGGGCCAACGCATTCATTTGGGAGAGTGAATGTCGAGCACCACATGGCACAATGACACACTTACACACGGCTGTCCAAAAGGCGTCGTAGTTATCTGTGTCTTCAATTGCTTCGACGTTTCCACGTGCGATGCCATGTTTGAAATCCCTCCCTATTATCATTTCCACTGACATCCTAACGTGCTTCTTAAGATGCGAATAGCTGGGAATGTTCGTTCCTGGGGGAAATTACATCACGCCCGACTTGTCTAATTTGTTTGGTTTGAGTGTGTGGGTGTGTGCGAGAATTTAAGGAATTTATTCAATCGTAACTTACCTTCCGCTCCGTTAGACAAGCCATTTGCGACATTGATGTCGTTGCCGGTTCCCACAACAATGCCATTGATGATGTTAACTCCGTGTGCACTGTTTCCACCGAGAATCTCGTTCTCCTGCATTTGATTTGTGAAGTGCGTCTCCTTGGCGCGGACCACCTCGTTTAGACCTTTGTTCATATTTGGCTGCTTACGACGAGGTTTGGGTGTTGTATGAATATAAGGCGTCGGCGTTGTAGTTGGCTTGGGAGGCAAGCGAAGCTCTGCAACAAATTGAGGGCAATTAGCACAATTACATACTTATATACCGGCAATATATTAATAATTTCAGCAAACGGGCAAGGCTGTGCGTTTGTGTGCGCAACAGCCTTGCGATATTCCTGTTGGTAACTGCAATCAATGTGGTCTTTCCAGCAGGAGGCAAATTCAGGCAAGTCTTGCATTTTGGCTTATCTCTGCCGTATGGGAATCAAATGGCAGACAGAGAGCTAGTAAAGCCTCATAGGCAGAGGCCACAACGTACAAGAGAATCGGTAATAAAATCAAATGTGTTCATCATTCGATGGCACAGAGTTTTATTGCTTTGGAATTGAAGAAAATCCACCAAAGAATTCATTTGCAATAAAAGAATCGATAAAACCTTTTTACCAACTCGGTATGATATCGTGTTGGCATTTTCAATGACAACATTAGCCAAATAGCATCAATATATCTTCTCCTATGACTGTTTGCCCAAAATTAGAATTTAGTACCAATAATATTAGGAACAGTGTAACGTAACGGTCTATTTATTGAAAAAAAAAAACTATATTCGCTTTATATGGTTCAAATGCATACTGGTGTTTAGGGTTGAAATTTAATGTACCGTATGTAAGCAAGAGTTCTGAAGGTTTGAATATAGCTGGTAAAAAGATTATATATATAACCATTGTTCTTCAGTTCTCTAAATTTCAAGCTATCCAACTTATTATTTAAGTTTCTTCATTTGTCGGTGCTGCATAAATCTAAATACATAGTGAGTTTTGCTTTGATAGACCTAGTCCGAAAATAAATTCTTATCTGCGAAATATAATCTACCGAAAATAAATAAAAAAACTAAACATCGGTCAACGATGTTATTTATAATTGAATTTTTACATTAATACACATTGTCGAACTGCAGCAGATAAGTTCTGATAATAGTTCCGTTCCAGAAGCTAAAAGAATCGAGACCCATTTCTGAACCCATAAACTGGTAAAACATAAAGCAAAATAGCTTTCTTTTTGACAACTTTTTAATCGAAAAATTTGACCGAGTAAAAATGGTAAACAGGAATGGCCACTTCTGATTTGCTGTTCTGTTGATTTTGAAGTATTGCCATCTAATTTTGGCATACTTACTAGTTTTTCATTCCTGAACTTTTCAAATTATTTTGCAAACATATTTTTATACCCTACACAACTATGTTGTCAGGGTATTATAGCTTTGTGCAGCCCCAAGAGTTTGTAACGCCGCGAAATATTGGCCCTAGACCCACCTTTAAGTATACCGATAGTCATATCTCGACTAGCTGATCCGATCTAGACATGTGTGTCCGTCCGTCTGTCCATTATAATGGACCACAGTTATGGACCAATCTTCACAAAATTTTGCATGTAGGATGGGTTTTGGCCAATGAAGACCTCTATTGTTTTTTTTTTGGAAATATCAGTTAATATTTAGGGGGTGAAATGTACCAAAACTTTTCTGATCGCTCCAGAGGCCGCATGGAGAAGGAGATCGGACCAAAGAATAAACATGCCTGTTTTGATAAAGATCGGCCAATATTTGCCGGGTCAAATGGACCTGACTTTTGTGTGAAAAATGACAAAATTTGTATTTTATAGTGTATATATTTACCCCGGAAGGATATGTATATCCAAGAGGAGTGATTGACCTTTAAATTCTCGTATGTACTCGGATGTGGGAGTTACACTTAAATATTTAAAAATCCTTACGTATTTAAAAAATATTTAGTAACCCATTTTCACACCAGAGGGCGGAAATATATCGCTTTGAAATTTTCCGTGAGTTTCCAGTTATGATCAAGTACAACGCCTATAATTTGATCAGATAATAATATTGGGATGCAGTGGACCGAGAACTTTATTTTGTGTGTTGTTTTTCTAGTCGATCTATAGGCCACAATGGAAAGCCGAACATCACAACACAACCCACGGTGAAGGAAATCTGGACAAATAATTAGAAGGGCTGTACTGAATATTAGTAATATTGGATGACCTCTACTCAAGAGGTTGCAAATATCGCTAAATATTGCCCAAGCTCAGAATAAAGAACCACACAAAGTTAGATTTCCGTGGATGTTGTGTAAGCTATCATATGGTCGGCCCCGTCCGACTATACTACTCCGCTCACTGGATATATTTTATATAATGCATATTTCATTACCCTGAACGATAGACCCCAATACCTACGTTTAACATTCGGAATGGTATGTGTACAAAATCAGTGGTGAAATATGCCACATAATGGGTATGAAGTACCTCCATCGTTCTATTTTCATCGCAACTACGATCATACAGCCAACTTCGAAAGAGATCCAAACAATAATCCTTTAATATAAACTCCAGTAAAAACCCTGGTTGGGATATATAGTGAGAGAAACATAATTGCTGCCTTAGCTTTTAAAGTTTTATGTTTGAATTCCTATTTATTAGAATTTCGATATCTAAGAAGTCTTTTTATACACTGCGTATCATAACTATAGACGCACCCTTAATTCAATTGGTATGTTAGTTGACAAATGAAATGGACCCATTAATTTATGGTTCACAATAAAACGATCAAAAACACATATTATTCAACAAAAATAATTAATTTATTCTTTATGGTTTCGCCGAATTCTGCACTTTCAAAATTGCTGGTGTTGCATAACTATAGACGCACTGTTATAAAATTGGAAAAATTTATTTTTTAAAACTTAAATAAAATAAAATAACTTTTATAAATAATGGGTAGGGCCTCCCTTATTTTGAATAAGTTCAAAAATTTTATCCATCACACTGTTGATCAAAATTATTCGCAAGTCTTCATCGATTGACCGCCATTCATCGATAATCACTTCTTGGAAAAAATAATGTTTGGTATTGGCGGTTTTCTGCATAGACACGACGAGTCAAGATTCCACACATGTTCTCAATCGGATTCTGGCGGAAATTTTAATATTTTTTAATTTTAACCATACTTGAGTGACACTGGCGCGTTGTTTGAAAAACGAGTCTTTGATTGTTGCTGCTCTATTGAATTCATCCGACAACATGTAAATGTCAAATAAAGCATTCCGTGGCTATAAAATGCTCCCAAGACCATTAAGGCACCGCCACCGAAATATCGTATTAGGAAAAACGATATTTCGGTAACCGCCACCTTGGGAGCATTTTATAGCCACGGAATGCTTTATTTGACATTTCCATGTTGTCGGATGAATTCAATAGAGTACGTTCAAGTCTTGGAAGACAAATTAAGTATGGTTTAAATCGAAAAATATTAAAATTTCCGACCAGAATCCGATCGAGAACATGTGTGGAATCTTGACTCATCGTGTCTATGCAGAAAACCTCCAATACCAAACTGGTTTTTACCTCCAAGAAGTGATTTTCGATGAATGGCGGTCAATCAATAAAGACTTGCGAATAATTTTGATCAACAGTGTGATGGATAAAATTTTTGAACTTATTCAATATAAGGGAGGCCCTACCCATTATTTAAAAAAGTTATTTTATTTTATTTAAAAATTAATTTTTCTAATTTTGTAACAGTGCGTCTATAGGTTTGCAACACCAGCAATTTTGAAAGTGCAGAATTCGGCGAAACCATAAGGAATAAATTAATTGTTTTTGTTGAATAATATGTGTTTTTGATCGTTTTATTGTGAACAATAACTTAATGGGTCCATTTTATTTGTCAACTAACATACCAATTGAATTAAAGGTGCGTCTATAGTTATGATACGCAGTGTATTACATATTAATATATGTATAAATATATAATATATTTTTTGAGTAGGAAATACATAAATAAGCATAATTATAAATTTGCTTTATCTTTTATTTTCATTATTAGTTCAAATTCAAATAAAATTCTGAAATTTCGACATAGTGTTAATGCATGGGATATGCCTATCCGGTGTCACATAACTTAATCAGATTTACACACAATTTTACTTTTCATATTTATCCTTTACCGTCGAGAATGACTAATATTTTCCAGAGGCACAAAATTCAAGTTCTCTGGTTTTAATCAATTCCGTTACAAACTACAATTTGGAGAGTGCTGTAATTCATGAGCTTTCTTGGCCAACTTGACAGTCTGTGGCAATAACTTTGGCCCTGCACAACTGTGATAAAAGGATATTATTGACTTGTCGGTGAATGGGTTCGAAACAAACCAAATGAACCGCTTTAGACAAATATATGATGCCAACACACAAGAACACAAACTCGATTGCCCCCAATTCAACTTCAAACTTCCACCCATCCATCTATTTGGCATGGGCATGTGCATGTGGTAGTTGGTGTCTTTTGCACGCTGCCTTCTGTTAGCTGCCTTTCGAAATTCCAATTGATTTATCGCAGATGATTAGAATGGATGAATGACACTAGATATCGTTTAAAGGACGAACGGAGTCGACTGCGGTACACAAGTCAAGGCACCGCCACCACCACACATACGCACACCAGATAACGGTAAAGAGTTTCTTGCCCAGACGACAAATTCAATCCAATCCAAAAACAATACAACTCATTGGCTTGGTTAAATATGACTTTAAGAAATCGACTAAGCGCAATCATGCTACTAAGGATGTGGGTCCAAACACAAATGCAATTAGACACACTCTCACACATATAAAAAAGCACGCCAGGAAGGTCGACTGGTTGCACATCCCTCCACATGCACCAAACAGTATTTTCGCTCGTAGATCTTGAATACATACCTTGCAGCCGAATGCGAGCTTCGCTTTTGCCTAGGGCATTTACACTGGAGCAGCTGTAAGCGCCAAAGTCCGCCTTAGTTAGATGACGTATTGTCAGATTAAGATGCCAAGTGTACATGTTAATCATGCTTTCGGATATATTGTACTTGTTGCCATTGTGAAGCTTTATGTTCCCTTTAATGCGATGCCACAATTTAAGAAACCGGCAACGACCGCCATAACAGCGACGATGATGATGCCATTGGTGGTGATGATGACAATCATGGTGTAGGTGGTCCACGTTGGTAGTGGTGGTTTTAAACACAGCATTAAGAGACAAAAAAATAAGGGAAGAACAACACACAGTTGAATTAAATAAAATTGAGACACAAACACATCGTCGCACCCAGTCAAATCGTACAGGCTAGCACACTAGCATTAGGATACTATAGCTACACAAACACAAACGCAAATGCACAGATACCCTTACTTTCTCACACACACACGCAGATTTAAAATAGAAATAAAAATGAACCGACATTTAAGGGCATTTCGTACAAACTCCTTGGCTGCTGACGATTTGACAAAGGCGTTCATGAAGGTTGGAGGAGGGTGGGAGGATGTTAAATATCAGATTTGCTACAGAGGAACACTGAAATTTCATTGAACTTCATATACTTCCCGTCTACTTCGTTTTTCTACTTACCCTCATTACGATACCAGCCATTTAAGGGTTTTGGATAGACTTCCACAATGCATTCCAGGGTGACTTCCCTTTCGACGGGTGCTCCCACTAACTGATTTACGGCCTTGATGGATGGCGGAACTGTGTAGCGGTTTGTCCATTTACCAAGCATATGCGAAGAAGATGCGACAGGCAAAAATAAACAAACAAACAAACAATAAAAATACATGGAGGACCAAAAGGAAAAAAGGAAGTGTAACAAATTGCCAGATTAAGTGCAATGTAAAATGTCTGTAACATTCTTTGTTCCGTTGTCCCCTAGATAGTAATTTGAAAAAAATCAACTTTATTTAATTTTATGATTATTGTTGGTGCTGTTGTTTTCCATGCTGTTCAGCTGGAAATGACCTACATGACATTTTGGTACACAATCACTTTAAACCTATTATATGGTAAGGTCAAATTAAAGGGTTTTTCTTTAACTTGACTACCACTGCAAAGAGCTGAACACAAATATCATTAAACCCATTGATAAAAAGTAAAAAATGTATATTTGATCCTTCGTGATCGAAAATGTTGCCAAAACTTTATTGCAAAAGAATTTTAGATATTATTACATAGTGAATTATATTAGAAAGTGAAAGTGAATATTAGAAAGTGAACCGAAAAAAATTATTATGAGATATTGTTATAAATTTTTTTATTCCTCAATATAAATACAAAAGTTTTAACATTTTTTTTCCTTTGAATTTTAGGCAAAAGAAAAAATCTTAAAATTACGCCGTTTATTGTATTGACAAAAAAACATTGATATATAACTCCCTTCGAAAAATACGAATATCAATACATTACAAAAATTGGGACACAATTGCACATTTCCGTGAAATATAAGAAAAATAATAAAAATATAGGAGATCACGTCATTATATATGAAAATCTCACAAGTCATTGTAGTGGTTTGTAAATTACAGCGACAATAAAACAAGATATCGAGGAAAATTATTTGTTTTTGGTTTAAAGAAATATGTCATCATATTTACATATTTTTTAGTTTTTTTTTTTTACAAGAAACTTCGGAAGAAGAAATATTAGGGTTATTCTTATTGTATATATATATATATTTCTTATGTATGAGTATACAACTTGCGGATTATGTCAATACTCTTTCTTTCGAACAAAACTATAGTATGAAATATACATATTAAATTTGAAATATACATATTAATCTTTTGATGTGCATGCGGTTTCCAGGAAGTACTGAAGTTTACCTTCGAATCCATGTATATTTTGCGAAGTTTCATTTGACTACATGTTGCATCGAAGTACCCAAAAACTCGTAAAACGCGTTCTAGTATATGTATTTTATCCGAAACGTAAAAAAACCTTACTGATCGCGGATACCACATCATTCAATTGACAGATCTAAAAATTTGGGCCCAAAAATACGTTTTTTCTTAGAAATTTGATCGCACAAAATTTTCCATTTCGAATGGGTATTACTCTGAAGCTGTCCCTACTACATACACAAAATATATATATCAAATTACTCAGATTCGCGACTAAAATAATCTTATAATCGATTTTTAGAAATTCCTGTTTGCGTATTAAAGCTAAAGCTAGAAGTAAAATTCAAAAAAACACTCAAAATCGACCTTCAAAATGTCAGTATCATTTAATGTTAGATGCGGTTAAAATTTTGAAAAATGATACATAAGAAACTTATAGCCTAGACAGACGACAGCCTTAATTTGCATTAACAGCCTTAATTCAAATTAACTTGTACATTATCCTCATTTTTATGTGTTGTTAATGCACAAAATGAAACTGAATTTATACTGAATTAGGCAATTTCAATATGGCAATGCTGTCGAAAATTAATTGTTTCTTGTCAAATTTATTTATATTTATGAAAATAAAAATAAGAAATGAAGGCAAATTTCAATAATTTTTTGAATTGGGAGCTGCTTTCCTAAGATCATAGTTGCTATTCCTTCTTTATGTCATGTATCTATTTCCTAAAGATGTAATCCCGAAAAATATCGAAACAAATGTAAAAAATTTCATACTACACACCGACAAACAATTGTTTTGAAGCAAAAAACTGTTTCGTAAATGCAGAAACTCTCGTCTGTCAGGGGTAAATATTAATTCAAATTAAGGCTGTCGTCTGTCTATGGTATTAGTCCCCATTTTATAGGCTTCTAGTTTTACTTTGACACGAAGACCGTGAAACTGAAAAAAACGCCTCAACCTGTTTTTACACATTTTTTACATTAAAGTAGAAAAAGCTTCTACCCAAATAAAGTTTGGAGATCAATATCATGAAAAGTTTGCCACGACAGATCAATTAACCCAAAACTATTCACTACTTTTCATATATTTAAGAAATTCTCGAATTATAACGGGGTGAACCTCGACTTCCGGTATGTTAAAAAATTGGCGATATATATATATATATATATATATATACAACTCTCACGAATATACGAATACTCAGTTTAACAAATTCAGTATATAACGAATGACTAACCCATAATGTGGTATGCCGAGTATGAAATTAAAATAGGGCGTTTACTATGTCAAACAAAAGTCATGTTAACTACCGTGAATTGAAAATGTCTTAAGGTAAAGTCACATTGGGCAGACATTTGAAAGTATCAAATATTTCTTTGACATAATGTGACCACAAAATATTTTCAGAGACAAAACTAAATTCAGTTGATTTTGGAAATCAAAATTATTTTGACAGCAAATAAACATTTGAGCATGTGAACACTTATCAAATATCTGCCTTTTTTCGAACAAACATACACTTTACCCTTAATATATTTTTTAGGAGCAAACAATTGAAAATTACAGCTGTTTCGTACAGTGGCGTCGGCTTTTATATTCTTATAATTGTGTTATCCCACGAAATTATTTATTCTGTCTGAAGCTCGCACTATTTACGAGAATGCTTTGAAATTGTGCACATACATTGCTACAACTACAACATTACATTAAAGCAAATTAAAGCGATATGACACCCCATAAGAATAGGAGAAATCAAATTAAAGCAAATTCGGTTGAGAAACATACTCATAATTTTTGGTAGGGACATTTTATACTCAATGAGAATCCAAAATATAAAATTATAGCTAATTTGGTTGAAGCACGTCTCCAAGCTCCCCAAAATACAGAAATTTGGGGTTTAGCATTATATGGGGCTACCCTAAAAGGTGGTCTAATAATATTGATAATTGTTAGTAGGATGATTTAATACCATACCGCAACCCAAAATAAAAAACCCCACAACCATCAAAATACCGAATATTAGAAGGTACCGCTATATGGGGTCTGCCCGAAACATAAGCCGATATTGATATTTTTTCGTAGGCAGAGCTCCCAAAATACCGACAAAAAATTGACCAATATTGATCATTTTCGGTGCGAAGGTTTGATACTCAATGAAAACCAAACGTAAGAAATTACAGCCAATTCGGTGAAAAACGTGTCAGAAATACGCATTATACCGAATATTGGGGGGTACCGATAAATGGAAGCTATACCAAAACCTGGACCGTTGCAATTGAATGCCAGTGCAAAATTTCAAAACTATGTCTCAAATATTGCGATATTTATTGACAGATGGTGCGAGACTCATTTCCATCACAATGGCTTAGTCAATAGGCAGAATTGTGGCATTTGGGATGAGGAAAATCCTCGAGTGATGCACGAGAAACAAATACACCCTCAACGTGTCACTGTGGTGAGTTTTTGGTCTAAAGGAGCCATTGAACCTTTTTTAGGAGGCAGGTTAAGCGTAAATAGCTAATATCTAGAATTGAAGAAATGAATGGGAACAAAACGGCACGACATATCATACAGCCAGAGAAACAGTTTAAATGCTGTATCAGTCATTTCCCGGCCGTGTTATTTCACGTATTGAAGACCAGAACGGCCACCTGTATCGTGTGATTGTACATTTTAGATTTCTTCTTTAGGGATTTTTGAAGTCTATGGTTTTCGTGAATAAGCCGACGACGACTCAAGTCTAAATAGAGGAAATTGGACGCAGCACTTATGCAAATTGGAAATTTTATTAAAAGGTCGCGTTTGTGGCGTCATAGCCGTACACAACCTCATTGTGTCTACATTACTATATAATATAGTTTCACGACTTTTTTTTGAATACCAGTGTTTTATTTAATGTTAAAAAATTGATTTTTAGTTGGGAACCCACTGCATAAACCTTTAGTACTAAAATTTCGATAAGCATGCACAACTTCATTCAGAATGTAATAGAAGATATATCCTAAAAATTAACTAGGGACCTATTTTATCTTCTTTTGAATTAAAAACAAAGCTAAAACACTTAAAAATTTTTAGATATTAATATAGAAATCTTAAAAAAATAGTTTTTATTCGACCATTGCAATCATTTTCACATTACGTAACACGGTGTGTCGGTCGGTCTGATGTGCTTAACATAAATAATATTCATATTCCGACTGGAATGGCTCTGATGTTGCTACCCGGAAATAAAAATGATAAAAAGCTCGCAGACATACAATACTGTGTATTTATGTTTGAACATTGTTATGTTTGTGGCAATAAAAGATTGTTTTTAATTTATGGCTGATGGTGTCCATGCCACAGTTGATATGGTGTTGACGGGCAGGCCTTGAGTTTGGTCTGGTCTGACGCCTCCTTTTCATGCTTTACAAGCCATCATGCGGTACTAACATTTAAACTTGTTGTACGTACAACTGATTTATATTCTATGTCTGTGTGTGTGTGTATGTTTTATAATTCTCTGCAGCTATAAGTGCATATATACATAACACAATTTGTATACCTTTTCATATTCGGTATACATATCCACCGATTCTTGTGCTTTTTTTTTCGAAACGTTGACATTGTCCTTTGCTGCCAAAAGGGTGAAAAATGCTTATTGGTAACTAACGGTGAACATAATCCCAAAAATCAATTTGGGATTATACATGAAGTTTTCATTGTGTGTATTTATCTATTGTAAATTATTATCCAAAGGGCTGCAAAAAATAACTTTCAGTTTTCCTTTGAATTATTAGTGGCATCTTATGTGTATGTGGAAAATGTAATGTTGTAAAGGCGATAAGTTGACTCGTCATCTGAAAAATATATGCACATACATCTGAGTTTATTTGGTTGAACTTAAAAAACGTTTATCCTTCATATTTTTTAAATAAAAAATTGCGGTAAAATATGTTAAAAATTTAATTTTAACATTTCTAATTTGAAGTGGCGCCTTTAAAAAACTATTTGGGAAAACACAAATAAAAAACTCACTTTGAACACTTATACCTGACAAATTTGTACATGTCGAAATCGTTTATAACGACGTATTCAAAGTCCCGAGAAATTTTCTGCCCTTTATTCGATATTATTTATAACGACATATCGCTTAAAAAGGGCAAATTCGTTGGTCCCTTGGCCGTTGATAAAAGCGATGTCGGCTGTAATTGTGTTGCTTGTGAAGAATTGCCATCAAGAAGTACCCGAATAGCCTAATTTTCCGTTCCCATATTTTATGTTTTAATTTGTACTCTCTAGGGAGATTTTGACATTATTCCCTCCTATAAGTTTCACCATTAGCTTTAAATTTAAAACAAATTTAAGTCAATATAAAGTCATGTTAATTTTCAACAACTTACGATGCAGACTTTCATTGCGACAAATTAGGCAATTTATTATCAGTATCCACAATATTATCGAGTACAGGTTTACTCACAATTTACATGCACATCGAATCGTTTGCTAACAGATGGTGGGACACCGTTAGACGCTATACAAAGGTAGCCACCCATGTCTGTTCGATGTACGTTACCCAAGACTAGACGTTCGCCTTCCACGGTTTTCACAACTGAAATATAAATGAAATGGGTATATTATCGAAAATAGGAACCAAAAGGAAACGGCACCGTTCAAGCATAATGTACACAATACAACATGATTTAAGTTCAACGCCATCTTCCTAAGACGGGACGAATTGGCCGTCACTTATGTTCGCTATTATGTACTTGCTTTCAAAGCGATTAGAAGACATATTTTTATTTATAAAAAAATAGAATTTTGTTGTAATTACCTTGCTTTTCTCTAGATTCTGTTCTCAAGATTATGTCTTTGCCCCCCTCTCGTCTCCATTGTACTGTTGGCATAGGTACTCCGGTTGCACTGCAGACCAGCGTTATTGTTCCACCTTCATTTGTAAGATTCTCTTCGAGATTTTGTTCTGGATGATTCAGTATATCTGGGGGCACAACAACTGACAAGTGACCAGACTAAAATGTAAAAAAAAAATATTTCGATATAACAACATTACCATGTGATAAACCCAGTGTACGTTTGCATTTTGTGAAGAATTTCAATAGAAGAAACATAAAAGAAAATGTTTTATTTTTGGTTTTATTACATCTTTTTTTCTTAAGAAAACACATAGTTTACATTATTAAAATAACGTTTACTATATTGTGAAAATTTTTGACCATAGATGATATAAATTTCTAACAATAAGAAACACCGAACAAATGTTTAAAAGCTTCAAAGAAACCATCCCGATTTTAAGTGAAAGAAACTTTTCTACCTTGGTAATTGGAAAATGACTTAAGGGTTAAGCATTTTCCAATGTTATGTTCCGCGAGTTAGATTTGGCTAATCCACATAAAGCGCGTTATTCACCAAACATATGATTGTCAAATGTTTAGATTACCCACAGGCTTCGCCACATCATCCCACGCCTTTTCTTTTATTATTTTATTGCGGTGCATTCCTTTATCGAAAAGGCAAATGCGTTCCACCACGCAATATATTAATTGCTCTTCGCGATTTTTTTCTTTTTTAACTTTTTATTTGGTTTTTTGCCTGAGTTGTTTAATATTGTCCGAATATTAAAAAACTCATAAATAGTTTCATTCGATTTTACTAAAGTTTGTCCGATTAAAAATTGTACGGAATGGCCACTGTGCGCTGATCTGCACTGATAAACTTATAACTTTTAAACCATTTCAAATATGTTGCTGAAATTTTTCCGTCTAAAACTTATAAATATTGGCCCAATATATGTGTAGCTTCCATATGACGCATATTGACAGCCAAAATTTGGTTGTTTTGATTCTAGAGAACCCATATTAAATAGCCAAAAATGATTGGTTGATGACATTAAAAGTTAGACTCCATGCAACAATAGCTTTCAGCCTAGAATGATGGGAATTGAGTTTTGTTGAAATCGGATTCAATAGAGCATTAAAGTGCCAAATGGTATATAGCGTGCCGTATTGAGTCTTGAATGATGAACAACTCTACGTTGTTTCGATTTACACGAAATTGTTTAATTTTGTTTATTATTGAATTGAGTTTAGATTTAGCTTCCATACATCTATATATGGGCAATATTGCCAATTTTTTAACATAGCTGAAGCGGAGGTTCACCCCTTTATAACTCGGGAACTACTTAAGTATATGAAAAAAAGTGAATAGTTTTGGGTTAATTGATCTGTCGTTGCAAACTACTCATGATATTGACCTCCAAACTTTATTTTGGTGGAAGCTGTGTCTACTTTAATGTAAAAAAATGTGTAAAAACACGTTGAGGCGAACCAGTTTTTTTATGTTCTCTATCGATTTGTGACTAAGCCACTCATTGCACGGTCTTCGTGTCAAAATAAAACTAGAAGCCAACAAAATGGGGACTACGCCCCTTATGTATCATTTTTCAAAATTTTCACTGCATCTACCTTTAAATGATGCTGACATTTTGAAGCTCGATTTTGAGTGTTTTTTTAATTTTAATTCTAGTTTTAATACGCAAACAGGAATTTCAAAAAATCAATTATAAGATTATTGTAGTCGCGAATCTGCGTAATTTGATATGTATTTTGTGTATGTAGTATGCACAGCTTCAGAGTAATACTCATCCGAAGGTGCGAATTTTGTGCGATCAAATTTCTAAAAAACCTATTTTTCGGTCCAAATTTTTAGATCTGTCAACTGAATGATATGGGTACCCGCGATCAATAAGGTCTTTTACGTTTCGGATGATATAAAATCTTCTTCGTGAAAATCCATCTATTAGAACGGCGGGAACTGGCCTTCCAAAAACACGAAATTTGGCAAAAAATGTTTTTGAAAATATCGCGGATTTATTTGCGTTTTCTGTGTATCATTTCCGCTTCAATAAATGACCCCATACGGATTTTGATCTTTTTCGAAAAGAGAACTTTAAAAACTTCAGCCGAAAGAGAGATGTACGCAATTTATCTCAAAAATAGATTTTGCTGGCACATCCATGGTTCTTAATGGACCACATTGAAATGGTATAGATCGATGTATTTTTTTAGGGTGCACACCGAAATCGGATGCGCGTTAATGGCATATGGAGTTTTTGGAAATTATTCGCGTTTTACGATTTTTTGGGTACTTCAATGCAACGTGTGGCACATCTTAGCCGTCAAATGAAATTTCGCAAAATATGCATGGATTGGAAGATAAACTTCAGTACTTCCTGGAAACCGCATGCGCATCAAATGATTTTGAGAATTACGCGATTTAGACGCAATTTATCTCAAAAATAGTGTGAGCTGGCACATCCATGGTTCTTAATGGACCACATTGAAATCGGTATAGATGGATATATTTTTTTAGGGTGCACACCGAAATCGGATGCGCGTTAATGGCATATGGAGTTTTCGGAAATTATTCGCGTTTTACGATTTTTTGGGTACTTCAATGGAACGTGTGGCACATCTTAGCCGTCAAATGAAATTTCGCAAAATATATATGGATTGGAAGATAAACTTCAGTACTTCCTGGAAACCGCATGCGCATCAAATGATTTTGAGAATTACGCGATTTACACGCAATTTAAAATGTACATTTCATAATATTATTTTATTTTAAGATTTATTCCTATTTATAGAATTCTAAGATTAATTGGAAGGGTCGTGATATAATCCGCAAGGCGTATACTTATACACAAAAAGTGATTATTATTATATATGTCAATTTTTCGGCGAAAATCGGGTAAAATAGCAGAATAACCCCAACATTTTTTTCTGAAATTTCTTGTATACAATTAAAAAAATAAATATGATGACATTGTTTTTTCGAACCAAAAACAAATATTTTTCCTCAATATCTTGTTTTGTTGTCGCTGTGATTTAGAAACCGCTACTCGGACTTGTGTGATTTTGATATCATTTGATTCATCATGGTGTTTAGATTATGTAGATATTTTTAAATTATTTTTTAGGTGTGTGTATGTCATTAATATAATGAAAATATTGATGTAATCTGCTATATTTTTTTTATTTTTCTCATATTTCGCGAATATTTGCAACTTTATCGTGATTATTATAATATATTCATATTCTTATTTTACGGAGGAAGATATATATCAACGTTTTTGGTAAATATAATAAACGGCGTAATTTTAAGATTTTTTTTCTTATGCTCAAAATTAAAACCTCGATAACTTTTGCGCGCATCAACCAAAAATTTGATCGCGAACGGTTTCGGAGTCAGAACATTTTTCTCTATATGTGTACCAAAAATCATAGATGTGCCACAAAAACAAAAAAGCTGATTTTTTGAAAATGGAATATTAAAAAATTGGCAATATTGCCCATATATAAAATGGAGCAAGAAAAATGTATACTAACACATCAATTGAGAACGGCTGTACCGATTTGACTCAAAATTTCTTTCAGTTGTCGGTAATTACAGTGGGAAGGTTTTTCTGAAATAACATTTTAAGAAAAATCCGCGAAAATCTTGCAAAAATTATTTTAAAGAAACGGATGGACCGATTTGACTTAAAGTTTCTGTTAGTAGTATGTAATTGAAGTGGAAAGGTTTTAATGAAAGAACATTTTGAGAAAAATCCGCGACAATGTTGCAAAATATATTTTGAAAGATATTTGCATTTCCACACATTTTATATCGAACCTTTATGGTTTCATCTCTTTGTAGTTGTTTTTGGACATATTTTGGGTGAAAATGGGCGGCGTAGATCTTTAAATAATTGTCAATTATGGAAAATCGAAATATGTTATTTTTCTACAATTAATTGGATTGTCATTGCCTTGAAAAAACTATTGTATATGAAAATAAATTTATATTTTCATTAGAGTTAAATTTAATAATAAGAACTCGAAAAGAGAGATTAAGATTAATCGTTATCATTATTTGCTCACGTTTTCCAAAAAACAGATTTGTTTAGTTTGAAAATATAAGTTATGGTATGTGAAGCAATTTGCATGGTATGTATAAGTTGTGAAATTTTTCTCAAATAAAACACAGTAAGACATGGTAAAGTAAAGATTAAGCGGTTCCATTATGTGGAGCCTATGCCAAAAGCTATACCGGCAATTATGAGGCAAGTTTCTTACCCTATGCGGAATACCGAATTAAAGGCAATAAAATGGATATTTTTTGCTTAAAAGCGCACAATAATGGAACAAATTGTTTTGAACTTATAAATACAACACATATCCCATGTGTCCTTAATAGGAAACAACATCAGGAATATTTTTGAGAAAATTGCCAATACATAGACATATGTTTTTATGTTTTAGTAAAAAACGAAAACGTCTATCAAAGTATCCAATACAGTTCAATGATGTTAGTAATTCGCTATATTCAATTACAAATACGTCAACAAAATACGAAGGTATTACTGAACATGTTCTTATATTCGGGAAGAATACGTTTAAATTCGAATCCTACGTGGAGGCAATTCCGCATTATATGCTGTTTGTGTCTAACTTATTTGTGCCTTTATGGTTTCTCAAATGTATTTTTAAAGGTGTGAATAATGTCTGCATGGTATATTGAATGTACCGATTTCACTCACGTTTTCCTTCGGCTGGGATTTTTTTTACGAAGAAGATGTTGAGAAAAACATCAAAAATCGGGAAGTTGGAATAATCGAATGTTGTGTTAGTTACATCGTTTATAACTCAAGAACGTCTACACCGATTTTGACGATTCAAAGGACTTATAAATCGTATGTGTTCAGAATAGGAAAATATGTAAACTAATTGTGAGATTCCGCCAAAACAAATATATTAAGTAATATTTATAATCGCTCAATTTTTTATCGAGCTTTAATGTTTAAAAAACTGTTGTTTTTTAAAATAATTGTTTTTTTTGTGTTATTTACATCAAAACTTCTAATTTCATAAAATATGTGTATGTTCTAATACTAATAATGCGATCATTAACATCGACGAAAATAATGGTAATGATAGCATTATTAGTATTCCCGTCAGATATTTGAAGTTTT